AGGCGCCCCGTTGCCCCTGGTACCCGCGCGCTCCAGTGTCTCCTTCCCGTTCTCCTGGTGTCTGCGGATCCACTCCAGGCACCCGCCCTCCAGGTAGGCGCTCATCTTCTCCGCCACATTGTCCGCCTCCCACTTGCGCTGGGTGATCTGAGCCCCCAGGTCCGCGGTGGTCCAGGAGCGCAGGTCCTTGTTCAGGGCGAGGTAATCCTTGCCGTGGTAGGCGAACTGATGATACCCGTGGAGAAGGCGCCCTTCGGGCCCCAGGTCGCAATACCTCTCCTGGAGAGGGTGGGACCCTGTCCCCGCCCCCGGGGTCACCCCGCCCACCTAGCCCCGCCCCCGCCCAACCTGCGGGGATTTTGGCCTAAACTGGAAACCAAACCGGGTAAAGGGGCTTGGGGCTTTCCCAGGTCGAGGGTCTGGGTGAGTCCCCCAGTCTCGGGGTGGATCTCGGACCCGGAGACTCGGGGTGACCCAGGCCGTCCGTCGGAGATGGGGAGGGGTCATGACCTGCGCCCGGGACCGGCGTCAGTCACCAACCTCGCTCTGGTTGTAGCAGCCGCGCAGGTTCCGCAGATTCACTCGGAAACTCTGTGCGGTGTCCTTCAACATCCGTGTCCCCGGGTCCCAATACTCCGGCCCCTCCTTCTCCATCCACGGCGCCCGCGGCTCCATCCTCGGACTCGAGGCGTCGCTGTCGAACCGCGCGATCTGCGTGTAGTCCAGGTAGTCCACGGAGATGAAGCGGGGGTGCTCAAATACCTCATGGGGTGGGAGCCTGGGGGCGAGGCGAGGCTGAGATCCGCCGACCCTCCTCCCAGCGCGGCTCCCCGGATCCTGCGACCCGCGGGTCGGGCCCCTCGCTCCTCCCGCAGAGACCATTTCCCTCCCGACCCCGCACTCACCTGCTCAGGTCTCAGTCAGGGCCAGGGCCCCCGAGAGCATCAGGAGGAGGGTTCGGGGCGCCAAGGGAGACTGGGGACTTTAGAACCGGGATCTCGGTAAGCTGATTGGCTTCTCTAGGAACCCGACACCCAGTGGGAGTGGGAACTCGGTTCAGTGTCCTGAGTATCCAGGAAGAAGGTCCCGACACCAGTGAGAAGAGGAAGAGAAACTGCGGAGATGAGGAATCCCCAACGCTGCTCCTCCCCAATCCACACACCGCCTTTGGGGCCTGAGACCCTGAGAGCCACGCCTGGGCCCTGGGACTTCGCCGTGACCCCGCTCCTCCTGTGCCAAGCGCTCTGTCTCAATGTCTCCCTG